AGTAGGTAAAGAAGTGTCCCACCCACTCCACCCCTGCTGGGAAGCGAAGCCAGGTCTCAGACAGCATCTCGGCCCCACACCAGTGCCTGTGGCGGCCTCCGCACCCCCCACCCAGCACAGCCTCCGGGGAGTGCAAGGCTGCGGGCCTCGGCATCCCCAGGGGCCGGCCCTGTGCTTGTCTCCAAGCATGGCATCCGGGTGGGCTGGGGAAGGCTAATTGGGGATGTCTGTGCGTTCCCCCAGAGCCTTATCATTTTCCCTCTACATTAACACCAAAGGAAAAAAAATTTTTTTTTGTTTTTACTGTGCAAAATTTTCCACCATCTGCTTTGCCTTGGCAGAGTGTTTGCTGAAAATATCTTTCTTCCTCTCTAATTCCCATAATTTCTGGGGGCTTTGGGACCTCCAGGAGTGGAGCAGCAGCTCACAAAGTCCCTCCCGGACTTGGGCGCTGCCAGGAAGGAGGTGGGGGATGGCCCCCAAGTTGCCTCCTCTCAGACTCAAGGGGAGCCCCAAGGCCCGCCCACTGCTGGGCCCTGAGCTTCAGCCCCGAGGACTGGCCAGGGGTGAGGTCACAGAGCCTTGCATCGGCTCTGCCCAGTGCCAGACTGGGCTCTGAGGGCGAGGGCCGGCAGGGGGCCAGTGCAGGCCCATCCCAAGCCAGGCGTTGCCCTGGGACAGTGGCTGCCACGTTTCCTTGGAGGCCATTGGAAAGACTTTTCCAAAGGGAAACCTTCCCCCACCTTCACGTACCAGAACCCCGAGTTTCCATGGTGACAGTCAAATTGCAAATCAGTCCAAGAGGCTGGCCTATCCCTCGAGAAGTGGCATGACTGGGCCAAGGGCTGCCCACTGCTGAACTGGGCGGAGAGGCCAGCCCTTCCGGGGGATGATGGGAAAATCCACAGGCTTCCAGATCCCCGAGCAGGTAGCCGCGGGCCTCAGGGCCCTGTGAAGAAAAGGCTAGCAGAGGCCCCCACCCTGCCTCACAGAGGAACCCAGGGGGAATCCATTTGGGGGTGCCTCCTTCCAGGGGCGGGGGTGACAGGGACAATCTTTTCCCTGGTGTTTTCCCATCTTTGACATGAGAAATTAGGCGTGGGCAGGATACAGGCGCTCTTCACCGAGCTGTGCTAGACTCAGCCTTGGGGACTCAGAGGGGGGAATCAGCCCTCAGACACAGAGTGCTTTGCCGAGGACGGGAGAGCCAGGGGCCAAAAGATTCATGAGCCTAAAAGCCTTGTGACTGGACCCAAAAGATTTACACTCGCAGCTGCTGTGCAGGGAGCAAGGTGACATCAGCAACAGAATGGCAAATGAGCCAAGGTTTGGGTTTCTCAGTGACATTTGGAATGGGAGGAACTGGAGGCTGGAGGAAGCCTGGGATATTGGGTAAATGGAGTTTGCCTTGGGCTGTGTCCAGGGATGCTCTGGCCTGTGGCTTCTGTTTCTCTCGAGCTGACAATCCCAAGGCCCAGCGTGGCCACTGCCCTTCCTCTGGCTTGTCTCTTTTGAGTGGGCAAAGTAGGATTTGGCTTCACATAGCACAGACCTCAAAACTCGGCTCAAATTCCCCGATGCGGTGAACCATGCATGGTCCCAGAGACTCCAGTCTCTCCCATCAGAGTTCTCTGTCTCTGTCTCTCTGTCTCTGTCTGTCTCTGTCTCGCTTATCTCTGTCTGTCTCTTTCTCTCTCTGTCTCTGTCTGTCTCTGTCTCTCTGTTTCTGTCTGCTTGTCTGTCTGTCTGTCTCTCTGTGTCTCTGTCTCTGTCTGTCTGTCTGTCTCTGTCTGTCTGTCTGTCTGTCTCTCTCTCTCTGTCTCTCTCTCTGTGGTGGCCCTTTGAAATCTGTAAAGGAAACAGCATACCAACTAACTCTAACTTAGGGCTTTGCTTTTTCTCAGTATTATACAACATCTGCCTCTAGACGGAAAATGACAATATGGCACTTGGGGGCTGCTCCCAGCTCAGTGCTCAGAGCCACTCCTGGTGGGATCATACAGCACCTGGGATCAAGCCTGGGGTCTCCTGCTTGGCCCCCTGAGCCTCCTCCCAGGCCTGCCTGGTGCCACCACTCACCAACAGCACTTCCCCTCCTACTGGGCCCAGGGCCACAGAGGGACGGGCGGATTGGGAGGAAGGGACACTTGTCCTGGGCTAGACACTTTCCAGCTCTTGGTATCTCCTCCATTTACCCTAGGCAGCAAAGGATCCAGGTGGGATTTAACACTACGGAACCCCCCAGGTGGCCCCCACATGTGTGTATCTGTGGAGAGAGATGGAAACCGGAGCAGGAGGCAGGAACAGCTTCCCTATAAGCGCCTCTGCTGAGCTGGGGGGCCCATGGCCAGAATCTTCCCTGAGGGCACTGCGAGGCCCTGCTGGGACTCCAGGCAGCTGCTGGCCGCCTCCTGTCCCCTCCCACTTCCTTTGTTTGGGGACCCACAGGCCTGGTATTTAGTCAGTGGTGAGTCAAACAATCCGTAAATGTTTATAAAACAGGTGCCCTGGAGGTCCAGCCCTGATGGATTCACGATCAGGGCGACCTGCTCTGGGAGCCTTGGAGAGCAGCTGCAAGCCCAGCTGGGTCTCTCGGCACCCCCACATCCTGGGAAGGTGCACCCCAACCTCGCCCCCCCACCCCGTCACTGTGAGAGTACAGAAGGCCCAAGCAGAGCTCTTGGGGAACAGCAGAGGGTGGAAATGAAATGCGAAGTCCTCGCAGGCTGAGGAGAAACCCAGCGATTGCCTCATTTGGGGTACAGTACAGCCCCCCTCCCATCCTAAGGAGCCTTGGGGCTGCTGGGAAACACGCAAACACAGAGGCTGGGCCAGGCAGCGGGCAGTGGGCAGGAGGCAGTGCCTGGCAGAGCTGGGAGGGGAGCCTATTCCTGGGGGGGGGGGAGGGAGAGCTGGGCAGGGGAAAGGGAGTGAGGGGTGAGGCCTAAGGAGACAGACTGTGGGTTTGGGGGAACCCCTAAGAGAGGGCAGCCAAGGATTGTGCTAGCTGGAGCCTTCTCTGCTGTGCAGGGGGCCGCCTATCTGCAGGCAGGGACCACATGGGAAATGGTCTTGAAAACCAAACAGCAAATGGTCAGGCCCAGAACTGAGCAGGGGCCGCGAGCCTCCCAGGCCCCTGAGGAGGTGCCCCTGGCAGCCAGGGGGATCTGAGGGAAAATCGAGGGAAGCATCTGGCCCAGCCCCCATGGGTGGGCACACCCCACCTACTCCAGACATGCAGGGTTGAGAATCACTTTTCTTTGGGGCGGGGGGAGGGAGAGGGCCATACCCAACTGGTGCCTAGGACCTACTCCTGGCTTGGTATTTGGGGGTCACACAGCAATGGCCGGGGGACCACGTGATGTCAGGAGTCAAACCCGGAGGTCCCACCAGTAAGGCTGGCACTGCAGCCCTTTGAGCTGTCCCTCAGCCCACGATTCTCAACCCTGTACTGTTCCATCCACCAACTCCAGCCCTCTGCTGCCAGAGGACACAGACCCAAGCCACAAATCCCTTTAGAAAGGTCTAGATCCGCATGGAAGTTCCGTGGCTCAAGTCATACCATTTTCCCTCTGTTCCCCATCATGTTGCCACTTCTTGGGGGGGGGGGGGGGGTTATGCCATGTCAGGCCTCGTTCCTACCCTGCTTCTCTAGATTGACTGTTTCTATCTCATCTCCTACCACATGGGGTCCTTTGGCCCAGGGTTGTTTGACAGATTGCATAAGAGCCTGCTCACCCGCCAGAAGCAAACACTCGGCCCACCCTCCTTCTCCGACCCTCGGTGGGCATGCCCTGGGTGACACGCTGGCCCCCAGCCTGTCCACCAGCTCAGCAATCAGGGCGAGCAGTGCCTCTGAGTCCAAATCTTTCTGTGCACTCGTGCTGGTTATTATAATTACAGCAGTTAGTGAAATGTTCTATAAATTGATGAAAAGAGACAGTTGTTTCATTAAAACCAAGACTTTGGAAAAATTCACTAGAAGCCACTTGCTGAGAAAAGTTATTGGGAGGCCAGAGCAATAGTATAGTGGGTAGGCTCCAGCTTTGCATGTGGCCAGCCTGGTTCAGTCCCCAGCATCCCATCCAGTTCCCTGAGTCCCATCAGGACTGGTCCCTGAGCACAGAGTCAGGAGTAAGCCCTGAGCACCCCCAGGTGTGGCCAACAAACCAAACCAGCTTAAAAGAAAAAGAAAAAAGCTGTTTAGATGTAGGCAAGACAACTGTAAAAGAAAGGAGAAAAGCAACATTTGGGTGGGGGGAGGGGGTGATGTTTGGAAGAACAGAGAAAGATTCTGCTGGCATCGGGGGTTGCAGAGTCTTTGAACTCTGCTTCAGTGTGAAGAAACAGAGCAGGGGCCTCAGAGGAGGTGAGAGGGAGGCGACTGAGCCTTGAAAGACCATAGGAGACCCTACTCAGAGCAGCACTCAAGGCTGGCACCACACGCAAAGGTATGCTGCACATTTCCAGCTTAAGATGAAAATGGAATGTTTAACATATGAAGCAGCTCTGACTTGCCAGCAAGTAGGGTCCCGATTCACCCAGAAAAGAGGATGTCTGCCCGATGTCCCAACTAGCTCCCTCTGCCCTTATAAGACCGCATCCCACCTTGAAGGGCTGGTACAAGCCCCTGTGTCCCCACCGACTCTCCGGCACCTCTGGCCACAGAGACAGGCTGTTCCCTCCCTCACAGGTGACTTGGGGACATCCCTGTGGATACCCTGTGCACAGGGGACCCTGAGGGCACGGCAGAGCCCCCCTTGCCACGAGACATACAGCCAGAAGCAAGCCCCTGGGGAGCTGATGCCTGCATACACAGGGAGGAGTGCCTTGGTCTGCCTCGCAGCAGATGTTGGAACACCAGGCTCGGGTTCTGGCGTCTTCACACTGGGACTGGCACCCCTTCCCACCACCTCGTCCTCTGTTTTCTGTTCCCCCAACATGGGAGCCGTCTGGGGTCTGTCCAGGGCATGACCACCTCTGTGACCTTTCTTTCCCAGTGGTTTCCAGCGACAGTGACAGTGACTCAGATCTCAGCTCCTTCAGCCTGGAAGACACACCACCGCCCCCCAGGGTCAGGGACCTGAAGGACGACAGGGAAGCAGGTGAGTGAGGGACAAGGGGCACTGGGGGCCCTGCTGCCCCCACTGCCTCTCCCCTGCGGGCATCACTGAACGACGTGAGGGTGAGGCAGGCACATCCAGAGTTAATGTCTGATTATGATGGGGGACCCAGGGGATTGGGGGCGCAGGTCCCCCTCCCCCATCCTCCACTGTGCATTTGGGGACCCCTGAGAGCCTCCCAGATGCTGTGCCGTGTCAGAGAGGAGCACTGTGAAGTCAGGTGCAGAGTTGCTGGGACTCAGCTCACCCACAAGATTGCAGTGGGACGCCCCCCCCCCACGCCCACCCTAGATCTACATGTCCTCCTGGGCCTCTTTCTCCTCCAGTTTAGCACAAACGGGATGGAGCAGGTGCTCCCAGAACTCCTTCTGCAGCTGCCATCTCTGAGCTCACTGTGCCAGGGAATAGTTGACCAGGACCTTGAGGCTGGCGCGTGTTCCTCTCCTTCACACACAGACACCGCCTTCCTTGCTCACTGGGAATTATTCCCGAGGCTGGAGCTGGGATATGCCAGATGCAGAGACTGAATATTGTATTTATCATAATAAATGCCCCAGGCCAGAGGGAAAGTAGGGTGCACCCCAAACTCAGTTTGAGCCCCAACACTGCAGAAGGCCCTCCATGCACTGCCAGTAGGAAGCCCTTAGCACCTGGGGTGGCCAGAGTTAATAAACGTGGTAAACCATGATGAAAAGCCCCCGAGTGCCTCCATGCAGAGGTACTACATGGGTTAAGGAACTTGCCTTGCATGCAGCCAACCTAGGTTCAAACCCTGGCACCCCATAAGCCCGCCAAGAGTGGTCCCTGAGCACAGAGCTGGGAATAAGCCCTGGGCGCAGCCAGGTGTGGCTCAGAAACAAAGTGGCCCCAGGATGCTGCCCAGTCCCTGGGCCATGTGGCAGGAGCTGAGAGGGAGTCCCTCCAGGCCGGGCTCGGTCACACGCACACTCCCAAAAGCTCTATTGATCGGGAAACTCGGGATCCTGACTCCACCTCACAATCCTCCTCAGAGCAGCTCCCCAAACCATCAGGCCAGTGGGCAGAGACAGGGCAAGAGGCAGGAAGTGCCCCCACGCCAGATCAGCTTTCAGGCCCCCGGAGGCAGGTGGTTCTGTCTGAGAACTCGGAAAGGAAGCAGCCCTGTCAGCCTTGGTCTCCAGGCTGGTCTCCGCTCTGTTCCCCGCCCCCTCCCCAACCTCCAGAACTCCTGTCTGCTCCCTCTCAGCACAGGGGCGGGACACGGGGGGAGGCAGGGCACAGGGCCACCTCTGCTCACAGCCGAACAGGCTCACACATAGGTGCAAGGAGGGTCTTCAGTTGCTCAGACTGCAGCTGTGAGCCCTCTCCTGGGGGCCCCTGAATCCTCCTCCCCCATCCTCTCTATGAAACACCCAACCCTGCACCCCCATTCTGTGAAGATCCTCTCACTGTAAAGACACCCCAATCCCTCCCTCTGTGAGATACCCCGACCCCTGCTCTGCTCTGTGAGACAGTCCCCCTCACTCTGTGAGACACCCCCACCCCCGCTCTGTGAGACACCCCCATTCCCGCTCTGTGAGACACCCCACTCCCGCTATGAGGCACCTCCATCCCCACTCTGTGAGACATCCCCACCTCCCCTGCTCTGTGAAATGTCCCCATCCCTTCCCTCTGTGAAGAGAGGACCAGTCCCATATTGTTGCTGACCCTCATGTGGGTGACTTGACTTGACCCCCCACTGAGCGCTCACTCAGCTGCTTCATGGATCACCAGTCAGTCTGCAAACCCAGGTGGACCCTCTCCCCCAGTGCCATATATGGGTCATAATGGCAGCTATGGGGGGGGCTAAAAGTGGCATTTACCCGGGCTGGGGCTTCAGAGGGTCCATAGCTGCCCATCTCGACACCAACCAGAAGATTTTCAGCCAGCTCCTGTTTAGAGGAGCAGTAGAATGAATGGTCTAGAGTCAAGAGAGCGGGCTCTGAGCCATTCGTGCCACATGTGGTCTCTTTCAGGTGGCAGCCCGGCGTCCCCCAGAGCAGGGTTCACCTACCCAGCCAGCCACCTCTCCGGGAGCCAGAGCAGCCTGGCCAGCGAGGCGGGAACCGGCGGTACAGACCCTCAAGGGGGCACCCCACTCTCATCAGACACTAAGGGATCTGGTGAGTACCACGTCACGCCTGTGGCCCCCCAGTTCTCTGCTTTCCAGCAGCCCCCCCCCCCGAACTAGCCAGTGTGGATGACACCCTCAGTTCTCCATCCCAGCCCATGGTGAAAGAGGAGGAGACCCAAAGAATCTCAGCAGCCAGCCCATCCAAACACAGACAACACAGCACTGCCCACCTCCCTTTGCGTCACAGCGCGGACAGTCCCTGACAGTGCCCCTGACTCCTCACTGCCACGGCCCCCTGCGGTCCAGAGTGCCCTGAACTGCACAGCCCCGTCTGTTCCAAGCCTGGGATGAGTGAGTGGGGCAGCAGTCCCTGATCCCCAGAAACCTGAGGAAACCAACTACCAGTCACAGGGATCAAGAATCCCCACCACGTGAGCTGGCCTCTTCAGCACTCACACCCAAAGACCAACTTTTGTTCCTGAGGACCAGCAGACAGGAAGCTGGGGGTCTCCGCTGGCTGGTGGAAGTGCCAGGCCCTGCCCTGGGCACCTGCCGCCCAGCCTCGGCCCCATTTCCCATGGTGCCCCCTCCCAAAGCAGAGAAAATTGTGCAAAAATTGAGCAGGTGTGCCGGGGCCAGAGAAGACGGGGTGCGGCAGGGGGGTGGGGTGGGGGGATACCACACACTCAAGACGCGTGAGGCTCTTTGCTGGAGCCTGTGTGCAGGAGTGGGGTGTTAGATCGGGGGAGCTCTCGCCAGTACCCCTTTGCACCCCCATCTTTCCACCTCTCTACTTGGATGGTACAGAAGACTCAGGGCAAGGCAGGCTTGGGGAGAGGGGGGGAGGGGCTCTGTGGGAGAAGCCATGGTGGAAACCCCTCACTCCTGCCCAGAGCTGCCAGCAGCCTGAGCTCAGTCCCAGCTCTGCCGCTGTGGCCCCCTGGACACGGCCGAACCCCACGCATGCACTTGCCGTTGAATCCAAACAGTCTGATACTGCCGGTTCGTTAGCCGGCAAGAAGAGCTGACTTCTCTGAGCCCAATTCACTGTCACTCACAGCCATGTTCCTCACGGGGCTGGGGCATAAAGTCCAGCACCCCAAGGACTACGAGTGCCTGAGAACTGCCAGAAACGACCATGGATGAGAGGAGAGCCGTGCACGGAACAGCCTCAGGCTGCAGGGGCAGTGAGAGAGCTTAGAGGCTGAGCACAGACCCTGCACACTGGAACCCGGGCCCCATCCCTGGCACCACATGGTCCCCTGTGCACCACTGGGAGCAACCCCGCATAGAGCCAGGAGTGAGCCCTGAGCACTCTCAGGTGTAGCCCCAAATCAAAAAAGAAAAAAGGGAAGCAGGGAAGGGCTAGCATGGAAAGCACCAGCCGCAGGAAATGATGCTCGAGCCGGGTCCCAGCCCTCAGCCCTCGCTCTCAGGGCCTCCGGGACTCACTGATGCCCAGGCAGCAGAGGACTAACCCTTGCAGGGGACTTACCCGCAGTGACACGGCTGTGTTCACAGAGCTGGGCCCAGGGTGCCAGGCTCCACCCCCACTCGGGACCCCTCCCCCGCTCTGGACAGCACAGCCTCTTCCATCCCCGTTTGCTTCACAGCAGCTGCCTGCCCTGCCTCCCACCACGGCCGCTGCCTTCCCCGCCATCAGCTCCATTTCATTCCCAAAGGTCACGCCGTCACCAGGAGGCCTCGCCTCCGCTCACTGAACCGTGGCCTTTTCCTCTCCTCCACAGGCCAAAGGCGGCCCCGGGCAGGTCCCCGCCGTTGACGGGACCCCACATCCCCCTCCGAGCCGAGCAGCAGAGGCCTGCTGGGGGCCTGGCACCCACGACCCAGCGCAGGTGACAGATGACGTGGCACTGCTCCCTCCGCCCCGGACGCCACCTCTGACCCCACAGACCAGTGTTTGGGAGCCCGAGTCTGCTCCCCCCACCAGTGCCTTTCGACGCCCCCTCTCCCACCTCCCCAGCCCCACCACGCATCCCGGTCTTTCTTTATTGTTCTCTCACTCCAGCCCTGGTACCTGGGGTCCACCTCACTGCTTGCTTCTCTCGGGTCGGCTGGGGGCTGCAGACCCTGCCACAGGGTACACTCCCTCTCCAGGACCCTTCTCTTGCTCTGCACACGGGGAACAAAAACCCCCACTTCAGAGCTGAGTGAGGGGCAAGAGCACAGGTGAGGTGAGCAGACCCCCATGTGTCCCCGCAGCTCCAGGGCAGAGGGGGCACTGTGGTTTCTAGACCCCCCCCCGGGATGGCCTTCCCAGATCTCTGTCTCCCCTGATTTTTTTCTGCTGGGAAGGGTCCTGCTGACCCCTGAACCCCCCACAGTGGAGCAGCTGAGCTGAAACTACCCTAAGTCACTCACTCTTCTCGTCCTTAGGATTAGTTTGTCATAAAAATATATATAGAATAAAATTTAAAATCCTGAGATGGAGCAATAGTACAGCAGGGAGGTGCTTGCCTTGTGTGTGGCTGACCCAGGTCAATCCCCAACATCCCACACGGTCCCCTGAGCCCTGCCAGGAGTGATCTCTCAGCACAGAGCCCGGAGTAACCCCTGAGCACAGCTGGGAGTGGGCCAAAACAGGCAAAAAGTTTTTAATACAGAGCCTTAATTCGAAGCTCAGGCAAGGCCGGGAGGCGGCTCTGGGCTAGTGCATGGCCTCCCCGGGTGAGGTCTGGGCACTGTCCCCAGGACCACCAGCCATAGTGGCCCCAACAACAACCACAGCAGAAAAATAGAATGAAAGGAGCAGATGCTTCTGGAAACCCCTTCCCTGAGAGCAAGCCTGAGAATGTGGTTTGTGTGTCTGGGTCCCACCCACCCCTCCTCGTCCAGTCCTGGAAGGGCCACCCACCCCTCCTCCGATCCTGGAAGGTCCTTCTCAGCCAAGTTCTCAGCCCCCTCATTTGCTACTTTGTCCTTGTCCCTGGTAGACACTGAAGAAAAACAGCATATCTCTGTGGCAACCTATGCTTCAGAGGATAACAATAAAGAGGAACTCTGCATTCAGCCTGTGTGTCAGCCATACGGCCATTATTGCTTCTGTTTCCAAGGTGGATCCGTGGGAAGACAATGGACATACAGTGTGGCGTGCTGACATGCTGGGATGTCCCTGAGCTGTGGTGAAAGGGACGAGTTTCGTCTTTGTCTAAGAGCTCACTCACCTAATGCTGAGGGCTGGGGGGGGGGGGGGGGGGCGGGGGGAAGCAACAAAACGATGAATACAGGGGCCGAAGAGGTGGTCCAGTTGGTAGGGTGCTTGCCTTGCACTTGGCCAACCTGGGTTCAATCCCCGGCATTCCATATGGTCCCCCAAGTCCCGTCAGGAGTGATTCCTGAATGCAGAGCCAGGAGTAATCCCTGAGCACAGCAGGGTGTGACCCCCAAACACCGAAAAGAGTGTTGTTTTGTATTTTCTTGTCTTTTTTATTATATTGGTTTGGGGGCCACCCATGGCAGTGCTCAGGGCTACTCCCAGCTTTGTGCTCAGGAGACCATGTTGTGCCAGGTCTGGACCCTGGCTCACATGCCAGCTGTTTGAGCCGTGTCCCAGCTCTCAGGACTTTCTATTAAGAAGCAAATTGAGGGGACCAGATCTCCAGTAACACATGGGTTACCAAGTGTAACACCCCCCCCAAAAAAAAACAACCTTTTTCTTCAGGAATTAGCATGCGTGCATTACCTGTGGCCAACACCAGCTCTCTGGGAGCACAGGGAGGCCTTGAAGGCACCCTAGGGTGTGGCCCTGAAGGCCCCCAAGCACCAGTGGGCTGGCCCGCAGTTCTCCAGCACCCAGAGCCTGGGTGGCACCTCATGTTTGCACCCAGACCCTGAACTGCAAGCCCAGCTGGCTGAACATCTCCAGGTGTGCCCTGGGCACTAAATATATAAATGATATTCTCCATCCCCCTCTCACTAGACACCTTTTATTGGCCCACACCCAGCGATGCTCAGGGGTTATTTCTGGCTCTGCACTCAGGGATCACTCCTGGCAGTGCTCAGGGGACCATATGGGCTGCCGGGGATCAAACCTGGGTCCGCCATGTGCAAACAGGTGCCTTCCCCACTGTGCTATCACTCCATCTTGAGATGCAATGAAGGTGGGGCTGGATAGATAAAGGTTCACTATGCTTATTCTTTTTCATACATTTGGAATTATTTTTTTTTTAAAAATCCAACCTTGAGGAACTATAGCAGGCCTTCTTATCAGGAAATTTCAGGACATCAGGAAAAGGAAAAGCCCTAAAAACTTCCAAAGGAGGGGTAGAGGGGGAACCAAGTCACGGCGCACAGATCAGGGATTAAAATGGCATTGAAAGTCTCAAAGCACATTTGAAGCCAGAACCCGGCGAAGCAGTATCTTTGGAATTGGGACAGGAGATGATTTCTAATCTAGATTAGAGCCAGACAGATCTCAATGACAGTAGAAGGAAAGTATTTTCCAACACGCAAGTTCTTTGAAAATCACCTTTGAGGGGCTGAAGTGGCAGTGCAGTGAGGAGGGCATTTGCCTTACAGGCGACCGACCCAGGTTCATCCCCCGACACCCCATATGGTCTCAAGCACCGCCAGGAGTGATTCCCAAGTGTGGAGCCAGGAGAACACTCTGAACATTGGTGGGTGTGACTGAAAGTAAATTCATTCATTCATTTTTAAAGAAATCTTGTTTCTTATTTTTGGTTTAGTTTGGGGTCACACTTAGCAGTGCCAGGGGGCCGTGGGCGGCAGGAGGGGGGCTATTCCCAGTACCATGCTCGGGCTGTCTCCAGTAGTGCTGAGGGACATTGTACTGTGGGGGCTCGAACCCAAACCTACTGCATGCAAAGCCTGTGCTCCCCCATCGTGCTGTCTCAACCCAAGAAATACATTCTTTACGAAAAGTGCTGTCTGGGCCTTATGCAGCCAGCTCCCAGATTAACTTGGGGAACTGAGCCTTCATAGAGGGGAGCAGGTTGCACAAAAATGACTCGGTTTGGGGCTGGGAGATAGTAGAAGGGTTCAGCGCACAGCTCCGGTTCGATCCACAGCAGCCCGTTTGGGCCCCTCACCCTCAGTAAGAATGATCCCTGAGCGCTGAGCCTGGGTGCTGGATGTGGCCCCAAAACAAACAAACAAAAACCAGTAAGCAGAAATTATTTGGCCCGAGCAACAGATTCGTCAGAGTGAGCAGAGGCAGCGTCAAGAAGCTCAGGGACTCGGCCCTTCTGAGAGTGTCACAATACCTCCCCTAGGGGAGTCGGTAGTGGGTAAAGCAGCTGCCCCCACCCCGACCCCACAAGATCAGAAGAACACAGTGGGCTTATTCAAGCCTGGGACAGGGACACTCCCACCCCCCCACCCCCCGCAGATCTAAGCCGAGGCCGGAGGGCAGGTGATGCAGATGCTCTGACACACAGCACTAGTGGCAGCCCTCAGCTGCACTCCTCTGGCTGACAGCCCTGGGCAGGGCTGCAGCAAATCCACTGCTCCTGTGACAGATGGCAGTAAAGCTCAGTGCCCACCCAGACTGCCTTCATGGCGGCCTGCGCCGGGAGGACAGTGCAGGGGGCACTTCCCATCCCCTCACCAGGTGCCCGACTGGGCTCAGTGACTGTCTTTTTTTTTTTTTTTGGTTTGAGGGCCACACCTGACAATGCTCAGAGGTACTCCTGGCTCTGCATCCAGGAATCACTCCTGGTGATGCTCGGGGGATCTTATGGGATGCCGGGATCAAGCCCAGGGTTGGCTGCATACAAGGAAAATGCCCTCCCCACTGTACTATCACTCTGGCCTCCCCACTCCCTTTTTATTTTTTAGGTTGTTTTTGGGGTTTTGTTTTTGGTTTTGTTTTGTTTTGCGTTTTGGCTCACACCATATTGTTCAGGGGTTACTCCTGGCTCTGCACTGAGAAATTACTCCTGGTGGTGCTCGGGGGACCATATGGGATGCCAGGGATTGAACCCGGGTTGGCCACGCACAAGGCAAACACTCTACCCACTGTGCTATCGCTCACCCCTCCCCCCCTTTTTTTTTTCCATTTTTTGATGGCACTCAGGGGTGGCACCCTGCAGGACTATGTGATGCCTGGGATTGAATTCAGGGCTCTGAATCATCTCTCCAGCCTGAGGCCGTCTTTGAGCCCCACATAGGCTACAGTCAGAGAGGACTTGGCTCAGGGCTTCCAGAAACTTCCATCTGTCATGTCCCCTCTCAGGGCTTCTGTCAGACTGCCCTGCCCCTGCCTCCAGTTGCAGGAGACACTCGGGCTGGAGACACTCGCTGCCATTCACAGCCCCGCACCCGCCTGGCGTGTCTATCCCGCCCTCCTGAGCCACCTGCCTGTCTGGTCGTGAGGAAACAGCAACAAGCAGCCGCAGTGACCGTTCCTGAGCGTGCGGGTCCATGCCGCGTGTGTCCACCGTGCCGTGCCATGTCACCCAGTCCATCTCAGCATCACTTCCTCTTCCTGAGCGGAGGCTGCCCTTCCCGCCCCTCGCACCCCAGCCCCTCTCCCTGCAGTGCAGGCACCCACCATGCTTCCTCCTGCCTGTGCCCTTCACGGCTCCCATGCGGGCAGAGCTGGACGGGCTTTCCTGCCATGCGTGCTTCTGCCTCCCTTCACCCAGCATCGGGCTTCAGTGGGCGCGTGTTTCAAATGACTGCGGTGGGTAGGGGGGCTTTCCTTCTGCCTTCTGATGGGAATCATGCTTTTGTTCACGCCTTGGGGATCGTTTGGGTGAGTTCCCACTGCTGGTGTCCAGGTGGGAGTCTGCTTGGGACTCCTATCTTGCATCTCACGGGGCTTTGGGAGAAATCCCCAGCACCCTTTCCCCAGCGGCGGTGTTGGTCACACTCAGGTCTGGCCCTTTCTTCTAGAACGAGGTTCCCATGACTCGTGGCCTGCAACCAGCCCAGTGCTCTGCTGTAGCACTCATGAAACTCATCACCTTAAACTCAGGGTTCTTCCCATTCACCTCGCAGCCTGCTGGCAAGTCCCAGCAGCTGACCCCTGAGGGCCTGGCTGCTGCCTGGCCGCAGGTGCTCCCCAGGGAGAGTTCTCAGATGTTCCCCTGTCCTTGTCTGTGAGCTGACAGACTTCCAGTCTTGTGCTCCAAGCTCCCAGGAGTAGAGGTGAATGTGGGTGATGGGAAGCCCTGGTCTGCATCTCCCAGTCACTGCTGCCCTGAGCACAGACCGGGTAAGAGTGAAGGGTGTGCAGCAGATGCAAAGAGCTGAGTCCCCCACTCCGTGCCAGTCAGAAATGTGCAGGAAGGGGCCCTTGTGAGGGTGAAGGGTCGACATCGCCCCCTACATCAGTGTACCCAGACAAGAGATGCAACTGTTCACCTGAGATGTGACCAGGGGCTGGAGCGATAGTACAGTGGGTAGGGCGTTTGCCTTGCACGCGGCCCTCCCAGATTCGATTCCCAGCATCCCACATGGTCCTTTGAGTACCGCCAGGAGTAATTCCTGAGTACATGAGCCAGGAATAACCGCTGGGTGTTGACCCTCCCCCCCCCCAAAAAAAAAGACATGTGACCAGTGGGTTAAAATCGCTCATCAGGGGCCGGGAAGATAATACAGTGGGTAGGGCCCTTGCCTTGCACATGGCTGGCTGGGTTCAATCCCTGGCACCCCATCTGGTCGCCCTGAGCCCCACCAGGATTGATCTCTGAACATAGAGCCAGGGGTAAGCCCTGAGCATAGCTGGGTATGGCTCCAAAACAAAAAATAAAGTATAATTGCTCATCCATGGCCCGCTGGAGTTCTTCTGAGGCTCTAGGAGGCAGGCAGCCAAGCATCCTGCCTGGGCCCTGGGGAGCCAGAACCAGGCCCTACTCTCGAACTGTGGCCACACAGAGCCCCGCTCCACAGAGAAGGTTCTGGAAGCTCTGCCCCATGGCACTATGCTCTAGCACAGCAGCCCAGAGCTATCCCAGAGGGCCTGGACAGTGGAGGGAAGGGAGAGACTCCCAGCCAGGGACCCCCTGAGACAGGAG